TAATCTCAAAACAAAACCAATTTTTTTTTTTCTTTTTTGAGTTACCATTCGAAATTCGAATGCTAAATGAAACAGCAGAACATTATCGCACGTGGACGAAGAAGGTGCGGCCGAAAAAACCACACGGTTTCCACCTTCATTGTGTACAAAACATTATGGTGTCTGTACGGCCTTTTTATTCACCGGTTAGATGGAATACCTGCACGCACATGCTTCGAAAAAACGTTATTGAATTTAGAGATCGTTTCATGCACTGACATTGCAAGAACAGAGATGTCATTGAGCCGCTTAAATGACAGGGAAAGGGATTAACGACTTTAGAGTCGAAAATCAATCACCGGTTAACTGATATTATATTCGAGGGTTTTTTATAAGATATTAAGAATTAATTACGTAAATCAGCGACTTTAGAGTTCTTTATTATTTTTTCTTTTCTGCTTCCTTACTTTAGGATAACATTATCCTGTGTTCTAAGGACGTTTTAAAAACATAAATTCCACGTGAAATTTACGTCAAACATCCAGATGAGAAACAATTATCTGTGGGTCACAAAAATAGTTGTCCCGTGTGGGAATCGAACCCACGACCCCCGTTTCCGAAGCCAATACTTTGGCAACTGCGCCACGTAGTTCTCTTTATAGTAGGTAATTTATGTAATTCAGCAAAAAACTTAATTAATTAGAGGTCTGGTATGATTATTATATTTGTAGCACAATAGATACATTTTTATATAATGACTAGCTGACTCGGCAAACGTTGTTTTGCAATATAAATTATTATTCTTTCTAGAGGAATCAGAACGCACGCATAAAGTGTTTGACAGATTACACAGACATAGTTGACAGGTACAGTTTGTACGGGACAATCAAATTGTTGCTGTTTCGATTTTCCATGCAATTTTTCCATAATTTCTCATCGTTTAAACCTTCTCTGGATTGTCACAAATATTTCAAAACCAAATTTAGCCAAATCGGCCTAGCCGTTTTCAAGTTAGCGAGACTAACGAACAGCAATCTATTTTTATATATGAGATAAATACAATAATACAAATTATAAATAATTAACACAACACAACAGATACATAACAAATTATAAAAATTAATAATTGTGAAGCTTAATTTTATTACTTCATTTTATTTAAATGAGGGTATAGCGTTTAATTTCCCAGAATTATGACGTCCGTATTTCAATATTTTTATCAAAATTCTGAATAATGGTTGTATATTTTTTAAGCTTCTCCAGTTGAGTTAAACGGTTCTTCTATCTTCATCATTTTTTATTTGAGTTAATTGGCTTTGGTATTTTACTTAAGCTCTGTTTGTTCATATACATAATTCTGTTGCATTATATCCTTTCTGCAGTTCCATGAGATAAAGTAAAATATACTTTATTGTACACCAAGAAACATTACAGTGTTTATAATTTTTAAAAAAAACTCACGGGTACATCAGGCGGTCTTATCGTTTAAGCAGCGATCTCTTCCAGGGCAGAGAAATTCATTAAAAGAAGAAAATAAACATAAGGAAAAATGCATATATAGAAATACATATTATAAGGCATTAGAAAATTATAAATGCAGTATAAATGCACCATACGTTCGATGCAGTATAAATGGACGTTAGAAGGAATTTAATTGGAACGCATCGACGTCATTCAGTTCTCTATTCTCCAGCATCTCCTACAGAGTTAAACCGAATTCATTTCACGTTTTTTTTTGGTCTCTATTAAAACTGCAACATCCGCTGGATTTGGGTCAGGCGATGACAATTGTCACTTTCTCGCTCGTCAAAAATATTTTATAGAAATTTAAAAATCTAATTATATTTATACCAAAAGCACGTCTTATTCTCGCGATAACCTAAAAATATATGATTGCCTGTTGCCATTGTATTCATTTAGGTTTTTATTTATTGTTAACGAACTGTTAAGCTATGCCCGACAGTTTAAAATGGCTAATATTTAGAATTAAGTAAGTTTTAGTTCATATAATTAGAATGTTAAATTAACTATTTTACGCTGACGACTGAAACGGGTTTTTGTTACGTTGAACATTGAAAAAACGTACATATTTAAAATTTATTTTTGAAATGTGACGTTTAAAAATTAATTATTATTATTCTAAAACAAAAAACCCGTGGCAAAATATAAATTTTACAGCCTTGAAATACGTTCGACAATTTTTTTGCCGCTAAAAGTTAGAACGAATAAGTTTTTTTTTGGCTAATTTTCTGTACGCCAGTATTCAAATCTCAGATTCCGCGGTCGCAACGCCGCTATGAATATTCAAACGTAGTTTTTAACCGTAACGGTGACATAAAATTTTGTATTGTTCTTTAAAAAATGGACGCTCCGTAACAATTAGCCCGACGGACAAAAGAATATGTTAATTTCAGCCGAGTTAGACTTCTTCTCGTTGCCGCGTTTCTGTACGCGAATAACTTTTGGCTGCTTATGTAACTTGTTGCTCGATTGTCTTTTTTTTCTAATTGCGTAGTTTTAACGCAGTTCAGCCAGGCATTTATTAAGTTCAGCGCTTTTAAGAGATTACCATCGCTTAATAAACGAGAAGCGTCCTGAAATATGGATTATATAACTCAAATATTATATACAATTATATAATCTTTGTAAAAAAAAGTCTTGTTAACACAATGTACTTGAATTCTTTCATATTTCATCGTGCTCTGTGGCAGTTCTTGAGGGTCTATGTTCAGCAATGACTCTAACAGGCTGAAATTATGATGACGATGATGTTAGTGAAGAGTTGTCATGGGACTGACCCTGGTGTCTCCCGGGCGTCAGTCAGTTTAAACTTTATTTGTTTAGTCCGATCTGTTTCTAATAACAGAATACAAGGCGCTGAACAATATAGATGTATAGTTTCCCTGTACAAGATGCAGTAAGTGTACGTGCTTGAATGTTAGATTTTTCTTTTACAGAAAACGATCAAAAAGAACAATGGTCTTAATAAATATGTACGCAAACACATTAATATAATTTTTTAATTTTGTTCATGGCGTAATAAATGAAAATAAGGCCACGGGCGGGGAGTTGGATGAGGGAGAGAGAGGGATGGAGTTCAAGCCAAATTTCGAAATAGACGTATACTGATCAAAACGAAGCCTTTAAAGTAACCATATAATAATGCTGACTTGAGCTGGTTTGTTTAAAATAATAATCTTTATTGAATTCTTCATTATTTTCCGTCTTTTATGAAGATGAGTGAAATGAAGTGAAGAATTAGACATGTTAAATATCGCGGCTCTGATAGTATTATTTTGCGATAGTTCACATTTTAATTACCTAACTTATTATAAATGTCATTTTGTAATGTAAAAAGTGCGAGTCGGACTCACGTACGAAGTGTTCTGTATCCAATAAATAAAAAAACGGCAAAAAAATTATATGAGACCCCACTTAAATATTTTTATTCCTTTTTTAATATTTGTTGTTATAGTGGCAACAGAAATACATCATCTGTGAAAATTTCAAATGTCTACCTATCACGGTTCATAAGACTGGTCTGGTGACTCACAGACGGACAGACAGACAGACAGCGGAGTATTAGTAATAGTGTTACCGTTTAACACTTTCGGTAGGGAATCCTGAAAACGGTGTTGATCTAATCCTGAAGCTAAAGAAATGGCCTCTTAGTCGCCTCCACTTTTCGTCACTCGTCAAACTTATCAGGCGACGAGATTGTCAGCGAGTATTAGGCATATAAAATGGCACAACAGTTCGTAAAATAAGTGATCCGATACAATGAAAACTTAATTTTAATTATGGACTGGCCAGTCCGAAATTGAGTACGGCTTAAATAAAACGGAACATCCAAACCGCTACGCCTCCCCAGTTTCCATATCCAATTCTGTTATAACGTGATTATAGACATGATTATACGTTGATAACAAGAAAATGCATATTTTTAGTAAACCCTAAAACAAGTTAAATACTATATTCCGTTATTGAATCAAACAATCGTCAAATTGTCATATGACTCTAGTACGAATATTGCTAAAGGTGTTTCATAGCGTTATCATTATATAGATGGACGTTGAATTAAACACAAAATTGGATAAAACAGATTGTTTAATAACGTATCCAGCACACAACATTCCATTTGGTTACAATATTATTTTAAAATTTTATATACCTCTTCTCTACTTCGCATACATATAGAGCGTTACACACACTATTAATTCTAACATAACTGTATTTTCACCCAAGTCAAAATGTCCACGGTCATGTCACTATGAACCTAATTAGCAAATTAACAAAATTTAAATCACATTTGACTCGATCCGGCACTTTATTAATAAATAAATAAAAATAAATCTCTTTCTCTACCTTAATAAATACACTCTGGCTTACTTGCTATACCTAAATGCAGATGGAGTCTACTTATGGTCTATGACTATGTATTTATAGCTATTAGGTAACATCACCGCAACTTTATATTATACACGAGTTCTTATATTATAATGACAAAGGAGGTAAACGTAATCGAGCTTAACATTGCTAACATTTGTACTTACATGAAGGTTGACAGTCTCAAATAGATTGGTCATTCGTTTTCTACTTCGTTGGATTAAGCTGACACACAAAGGACTATCCCATGAGTGTTCTATAATCACTGAATTATGCTTAAATTAAGCCATGTGAATTACTAATATCGAAATTATTCTACACATTCTTAAATACTATTTACATTTCATTTCGGTGATAAATGCACTACAGTTACACGAAGGCGGTACAAAATCTTTGACCGTGTGACAAATCACGACACGTGTCAAATTTTTAACCGAAGTAGGTCATTTAATTTATAACCGCGTAATAGTTCGATCCTCACAGCGCGACACGTTTTGATTTCGTCGTCTGGTTAACACGACGTCTTTGGTTTTAAACATGAATACGAGTGACGTTTCCAGATTTTCAGAACTCGCCCCGAATTTGCTTATTTGGTGAACTGGTAAGTGTTGGCCAGGGTCGAGGGTCTAAAGCTAGGCGTGTTGCGCTCGGCCCAGGTGTATGAAGAACGCGACGCGGTCCGGGCTCCGCTCGCCGCACTTGTTGCACATGAAGGGATCGTTGTAGCCGTGGAAGCCCATGTGGATGGTGTGCATCGTCAGGTCGCCGAAGGTTATGTCGCAGTACTGGCAGGAGTACGAGCTGGACGAGGTCGGAGTGGCGTCGGCGGACGCGTCGGAGTCGGAGCCGGATGCGTCAGCGATCTTCTCGTCTTCGTGCTGCAATCGCAGGGCAGCGGGCTGCAGCTTGAAAGCGCGCCCTTTCCTCCGGTTCTTCAGCGACGTGGTGGGAGTAAGGGGGGGCGGCGGTGAGCCCGCCTCGCTGGTCTTCGAGCTGGTGAGGTCCAGCGCGTCGTTGGCGACCGGCGGAGCGCTGTGGGTAGGGGTCTGGGGCAGGCTGGCAGGGGATTTAGCTGGGGGAGTTGTAGCCTCCAGTCGCTCGTAGGAGAGCCGCTGCTGCAGGATGGACTGGGGCGATGGCGGCCGCTTCTCGGCGACATGCTCAGGAGCGGGCGACGTCCTCTGCTCGTAATTGTTGGGGAACAGGAAAGAGTGCGGCAGCAGTGGAGGCAGGTAAGGCGACAGGTTGACAGGGAAATGCCCACCGAACAGGGGATGCGAAGGCGCCTGGGCTTGCGGCGGGCTGGTGTTGCTCAAGCCAGGCTGCTCGAACATCTTCGACAGCGGCTTCTGCTTTGGGCCGCGTCGCGTGCCGTACACGTCGATTATCGGCAACGGATTCGGCGTGCCGTCCAAGTTCAGCACCATCGCCGGATTGTGCTGGTATTTGCGCAAATGAAGCTTCAGTGAATGGCAGTACTTGGTCGCGTAGTTGCAATCAGCGCAGCGGTACTGGTATACGTTCGAGTGCGACTTCAGGTGGGAGTTGAGCATCGACTTGTTTACACACGAGTACGAGCACTGGGTGCACTGGAACGGCTTCGAGCCGAGGTGGTTGCGCATGTGGTACTCCAGGTGGTGTTTGTATTCGGTTACGAAGGGGCACTTGCGGCAGCAGAGCATCTTCTCCGGCTTGATGTGCTCCTTGCTGTGCTCCCAGAAGCTGAGCTTGGTGACCGCTACGAACTCGCACTGTTTGCACTTGAACGTCTTCACTTTGCCGTGGGAGTTGACAGCCGGGACCCTCAGGCCGGGCTCCTCGTCGAAGTCGTCATCGGGGCCGGAGCCGTCGCGGCAGTCTTCCGCCTCAGCTTTGTTCTGGTTCCCCTCAAAGCCGGAGTCGTGGAAGCGTTCGAAGGAGCGCCTACCCTGCTCCCTTTCGGGCGTCCCTGGCGGGGATTTGGGCGGTGTGGCGTCCGCACGCGATACGGGCGTGGACGCCAGGCCGGTTGCGAGGGTCCTCGGGGAGTAGGCGGTCTCGTAGCCGGGTGAATGACCCTCGCTCCTCGTTGCCGCGCGCCTCGAAGCCCGGCGGGGTGAGGAGGCTGTACGGCATCCCGTTCTGGTACAGGTGCATGCCGAGATTGGCCTTGGCTTTGAGCGGCACGGAATCGTAGAAAGGCATGGGTTCTCCGGCGCTGCCAACGCTCCGCGGCGAGTGGCCGTTCGAGTCCTTGCTGGAGGACGAGGGAGACGCGCTGTGGAAGCCCTCGGAGAAGAATCCGCTGGCCTGCTCCTTCGCGAAGCCCTCTTCCATCGGTTCCGATTTCTAAAAAGAGCAACACTGCTGTTGAATGCTGTTACATTAGACGTTGCCTTAAGGTTTTTTTAAAGGCGGTTTTTTTAAAGTAGGAAGATGGCAAACGAGCTGGCGGTTGAATTGATGTTATGTAATAACCACCATCCATGGACATTTGCAACACCCGTAGGTTTGCATATGCGTTGCCACATTTTAATAAAGTGTCTATTAAACGATTTACGACTATGCCAATATTGATGAAATATTAACGCTTTTCTTTATTTTCCATTTTTTTTCAGTTATATTACTTCAATGTCATACGAACATTTAGAGAAACTAACACTGTACTTCATTTGATTTCTGCCTTACTTTGTTGGTTCTGGAGCTTTTCATGTTAATTGTTTTTAAATAATAACAAATTAAAGGCGTGCTTTATAAATCATTTGACACGAGTTTATAACATTTTAAGCAGTAGAATCTAAATATATTCAATAAATTCATGCCTCTACATTTATGTCGATTTGTTTTTCTTCTATTCGTGTGAGATTAGACATGCTTGTTGTTTCCGAACAAAGTGTCATGTACTCACAATTGTTGGGGGCTGGAGGAGTGTCCCCCAGTTTGGATTGTGAGCGTGTGGTCCGGTCGGCATCCCTGCCGGGGAGGCGCAACTCAGCATACCTATAACAAATTATAATAATATATATCAAATTATAATTATATAATATACTAGCGACCCGCCCCGGCTACGGGTTTAATATAATATACATATAAACCTTCCTCTTGAATCATCTAGTAAAAAAACGCATCAAGATGTGTTGTGTAGTTTTAAAAATCTAAGCATACATAGGAACAGGCAGAGAGCGTATCGACTTTACTATGTAGTGATTTTATGTCGTACAAGCCGTGATAGCTTAGTGTTCGGGCATCGCTTTTAATTCATTATACTTGAGCAACCCGAGTTCGCATCCCGGTGCCGGCAAAATGAAACTTTTAATATTAAGTGCTGAATTATCACGTGGTCAGCGGTGAAGGAAAACATCGCGAGGAAATCTCCATATTTTCGAAATAATAAAAAAACATTTCGAAGATACATGCAGTTAGCCAATCCGCTGTGGGGTTGCGTGGTGGACTAGTCCCTAATACCGTCTGTACAGAGGATGCTTTTTGGCCCAGCAATGGGCCATGTATAGGCTGATACTTTACTTACTTTATAATTCATGCTACTAACTACTTTCTACATATGTTTCATATTTATATCATTTTAACTTTATAAATTAATGTGATACTGATAATTGTAAATTTCTTCATTTTACTCGAATATTACATGTATTAAATTAAATTAAATTTTACAGATTTTATCGCGTTTTAAATTTGATTATTAATTCTCGACGCCACGTTTTGAACCCTTTCCGGCGGTCATGGTCACGGGGCAGACAGTCTGTGAACTAGTTTAATTTAATCCTAATATGTAAATTTATTATTATGTTTGTGTATTCATGTTCGTGAATTTTGTTAACTTATTAACACGCTATAAATAACACTCAAGTCGGCTCATTACTAATCATCGTAATATAATTATATAGTTATGTTAACGGTAATGTCGGCGGTTTTGTAGTGTTTATTAACTGAAGTCGCCGATTATGTTAACGTATACATTAGTTAATGTTTGCTTTGGCGGTTTGTGTGAGTTCAATAAACAAGTTCAAAATTAGGTAATTAGTTTAGGCCGCGGGATATCGCAAAACGTTTTAGGGCAAACATGATATTTACTGGACAGTACCCGCTAGATTTTCGCTTAGGAAATAATTTTTGTATTGTTATGTAAATGATATTGTTTTCGACAGTGGAACTGTTCATTTTTTCGCCATTAAGAAATTTTATGATGTTATCGAAATACAAAATGGCATGTCAAAATGTCTCCATGTCAAAAATGCCGATACAGCACGATCGACTTCGCAAATACAAAACAAATACTTTCTCGCAAACATACGAAAGCGCACGGAATCGGCGGCGATTTCGCCTTAGAGATTTTTTAGCTACGTGACTAGTTCGGTTTTGCGAATGTTCTTTCATAAAAATCCGATTTTGCGGCGTTGCTTAGGCGTTTGTGTTTTTATCGCGCGTGGGTTGCGTAATTTGCGGGTTTTCGCAAAAATCGCTTGCGACGCGTTGTTCGCGACGTATGGTTTGCAGGTTGCGGCACGTATTGGCTGCGAAACGATCGTCGAAGTCTGTCGCCGACGGCCGCGTTAAGGCTGTCAAGTGTGTGGTCTATACAATGCAGGGGCTACCGGTGTTTCTATTTTGAAAATCGAACGCGATTCGAATGGAAAATATTCTTCAGTTGCCACTTCCGTAGTTCCAGCACCTTAGAAACAGGAGCTTTAAAGATAAATTGTTGTTTATAAGGTCTTCCTATATATTATATGGGTTAAAATAAAATAAATATAATTAAACTAATATAATTAATAGAATAAATTATTTAATGTAACATAATATACATAATGTAAATTGATATAAGGTTGAGATTTAACTTAATATATATTCATAATTTGTGAATAACTTTTATTTAAATAAACAAAAACTAAATGTTAACTTACCTTCCCGTTTTACTGTAAATATGTGTGAACACAGCACAAAACAACTGCTCGCATATAATTCTAGAATCCCAAATTCACTTCAATGTATCTAACACTATCTAATATTATGTGCGAGAAACGTAAACACGCGTAAAATGTTCAGGGATTTTTTAACACAACCCTGCGCTGCGGCGGCAGAAGGCAGTGTGGCCGCTGTCGCTCCTCACGATGAACTGAAAAAAAATCTGTCAATTTTTATGCCCCAAACATCGATAAATGTATTTCACATTCGAAGGCGACGAGTTTTCTGAGTGCGAACGGCACCGCGCTATGGTCAGCTACGTCCGTCCCGTTCGCACCCCCACAGCCTATTTTTACTCGAACCAATGCGAGTCGAGCTACTGTGGGTGGGGATCAAGTTATTAAGTTATTGTTTATGTATTATTAATAATAAAAAAAAGTAAGCGACTCCCGCCGACGCCAGCCGCTGTTATTAGAATAAAGCATAGCCGTATCAGTTATTATTCGGCAATAAAAGAGAAATACGCAGTCGTATTACAATGTTTTCTCATTGTGCTAGTAACGGACTTAATTTTGTTTTATTTACCTTCAGTGCCATTATTGTTATTTGTCACATCGACTATATTAACTCGTAAAACTAAGGGATACGATAAACACGTATTGTTAAATGGTGATAAGTATTTTTTGTCTACAACTAAATTTAGATTGGAATGCCCTTATAAACTTTTTGCTGAGTAAATAAAGCATATGTAGCTCGCCGTAAAAAAACTCGATACCCGTTTAAAAAAAGAACCGATTCGAAAGGGCAGTCGCAACGGAGCTGAGGGGCGTAGAGCTTTTTACCGCGATAAGGCAACCAATAGCGGTGGAGCGTTTAAAAAAAGAATACGTAGTTTTTTCGACGATATCGAGGGAGCTCCGACCAATTAAATGATCGTTCTATTTCTGTGGCCGATATAATACTCGCTTGACGAGATGACGCCGATAAATTTTGTTATATACTCGTTTTTTACAACATTTATCTGATAGACATAGTCTTTCCTTTACATAACAAACCATGTCATAAACCTAATAAAAATCTTTCATCATTATTTTTTAAATGCAACAAATGGCCATGGACTCCTTTGGACATTTTCAAATTTTTATCTGAAATTTTTTTTTTTATATGGAACTGACTAGCTCTTGACTGCCACCTGATGGTGAGTGGCGATGCAGCCGCGGATGGTAAGCGCGCTAGCTCAGTAAAAGCCTATTCACTAGATATTAAATATAAATTTATTAAAATTTATTAATTAAACTTAACTTTTTTATATTAAACTCTTTTGATCATTTGAAAATACAATGCAATTTTAACATTGACACTCTCCCGTCTTTGTTTAGGTCAAATTTTAATCAAATTAAAAAAAATAATAATGTAAGAAAATTAATACTGTATAATATAAACTTTTTGCGCACCTTAATAATTCATGCGAAACTTGAATATTTATATCCATTACATTTAAAAATAAACAAAATCAAATAATCTTGATTTGAATTTACATTATACGAATAAGCGGTCTTATGTAAATAGTTTCTAAGCATGCAAAATTACTAAGACTAAGTTAAAACTTATTCGTAAAACATATGGGTACTTGTGCATAAATTAAAAAACCCATAAATTTGGTCGCAGATAAAGGGCGATGGTTTTTCGTCTTGGACCGTAAGTCATATCAATCACGTACGTACAGTTTTTTTTAAAATTATTTTGTGGCCATTTTTCGTTGTTGTGGCGGTTCATCCCCATGCGGTATAAATTGAGTCGACGTCACAAATCACACGGACCTAGACAGCTCGTAGCAGGCTTCAGTATTTTTTAATGTTCACATTTTTACAAGCGTAATAATTATATAGCCCTGTTCCCAGTGACGCTTTATATAGACTACGGACCCAAAGCGTAAACAATGGGTAATAACGATACTATGTATTTTATAAACAGCGGGGTATAATACGTACTACTCTGGGGCAGTTCTACGTTCAGGGCGTATTATCTAAAAGCAAGTGTTATTGGCAACTATTTTTTTTTAATATTTTATTTTTATGAATGTTTATAGGTATGTGCATGTAACTTGATTTTGCAACAGGATTTGAAATTTGGGTCACTTGTATATAGCCACTGTTGAGTTGTCTTAACATTTCTGCATGATTCAATCGATTAATAGGACTGGCGATTGTTACTTGTTCCTTCTCAATAAGTGAGGTAACAGGAAACATTCTTTGAAAGTTGGCAACGCATTTGTCGCCCCAAAACAATTGGTATATGTTTTACTCATTCACTGAAAAACTTCTCAATTAAAAGAAAAATAACGAGTAATTGACGATATCTTTTATCATTTAGTTTTTGTCTTGAAATGTTATAAATTTTAGGCTACCCGAGAGTATTCCCACTATTCATTGCTATTCACACTCGTAACTAAATAAAGATCCTTTATTTTAAGTTACCTTTTCCCACGTCCATCTGAAAAAAGGAATTAAATTAAATATCTTCTGTTTTACTCTGTGGATGTAGAGTTTCTGACAACCTCTATATATTATTCCTCAAATGTTCTTTGACGTCATAAACTGCATAACTCTCCGTCAATTTTAACGATTGTAACACCATTTTAAAGTTTATGTCCGCTGCGATTGACGAAAAGAAGACAAGAATAAAAACGTTAACGAAACTCTGCGATAGAGCCACGCAACAGCGAGCCTTCAAGTCTTCAACTTCTAAAAATTTTATTCTCATAATTTTTCCAAACGCGCCAAAAGAAGTATAACTACAATAAGTTTTTTTTATTTAGTCTGATAGGTCCGCTATATATTATGTACCTTTTCTCAGATAACGTAGTAACTTAATTTCTTAGTAAAACGTATCAGGACATGTTGTTATTTTATCACATGCATATATTTTAAGAGAGCTAATGTGTTATTTAACAATACCGCGATAACTTCTCTTTTCTGAGAAATCGTTTAACGATGATATTGAAAACAACTGTCGCTATGAAAGGATTCGGTGTTTACCAATCCCACGGTCTCTAATGATCTTCTATATGAATTT